GTGAAGGGAGAGAAAGAGAGAGATAACTCAAGGAATATCACCATGTGGATCATGATTAGTCACTATTTATTAAAATATCCAAAATACGCAAAATATCCATTATCAGTAAAGAAACATTTTAAGATGTGTATTTTTCAAATTCTGCTTATTGATTATATTAAGACACATTTCCAATTCCCTTTGTCATATCAATGTTTTCACTTGCTGCAACAGAAATAGAGTATTTCAAAACTGCATCAAATAGAGGAAGCCCAACAACAGGTTAAAAAATACAAGGTTGTCTGAATACAAAAAGCCCTGTTTCCTCATCACTCTTACAGTGAAATCTTTTCCAGTTTTTTAAAGCAGTTGACAAGATAGACTCAAAAAGCAAATGCAGTCTTGTAAAGCAAGCCAATTAATAGTCTTGTACTATTAAGCAGAGGACTTGGAATCACTTCTAGTTTGAAAAACGGATCTAGATGTTACATACTGAAGCTATGATCTTTTGTTTCCGGCAAATTCTTCTAGTAAATAACTGGCCTGTTTGACCTGACTTTTCCTGGAACAGCAGTTTTCAATCCGTCACCTGCAGACTACATCAAATTGGTCTGTGAAAGATACCTATGCAGTAACAGACTTGCTATTACCAACTATCTACACCTTCAGTGGGAAACAAGTTTAGAAAAAGATTAAAGAAAAAATCATACATAGAGGTTAGAATCAGGATGGCAAGCGGAGAAAGATGAAGCAACTTCCAAAGAGCAAAGGCAAGCTCAGCCAGACGAGTCATTCTCAGTAGTTTGAGTCTTTTGTTCACGGTATGCTGCCCTTCGGTGGGCTCACGAGCCTTACCGGCTTGGCTACCTATGGTTCAGCTCCAAGAAGGAGCAGGAGCTTGCTCTCAGTTTGGATCCCTCTGAGCCTGCGGGTGAAGGCATTCACTATTACCACTCCCTCACTGACTGCGAGGGTTAGGCAAGCTGGATGTTAAATGGTGGGAGAAACCCAAAATTTCTTGTGGGTTTCACTTCATATTCAGTGAAAGAAAGACTCCTAACTTCTGGGAATTGAATCAGGCCTGGGGTTAGTACAGGTAGAGTGTGCTATAGTATAGTAACTTATGATACTAATACACTCCTCCTCCTACCACGAGACTAGCAAATAGATCCTCCTGCTCCTGGCAACTGTGGTGGGTGCGTTTGCAGAAGACGGCAAGAGTCTTTTAGAGCTAATAGCCAGTTGCGCCACTACTGCAGCATGAAGTACTGGGCCAGTGCTGTGTACCACCAAGCACACACAGCAATGCGCTGGATGAGCAGCTGCTGAACAAACCAATAGCGTTGGCTGTGCTGTTTGCAGACTCTCCAGCTCTGATTACAGGTCTTCCTAAAAGGAGTAAGGAGCTAACCCCCACACTGCCTTTGCACCCAAGAAAATCAGATCAGTTCACCCCCTCCTTGTGGGTGCCAGTGGTTTTCTGGACTTTTCAGAGCATGCCTGACTGGATGTGCCACAGGAATTCCTTAATGCAAGTCCTGGCAGCACCTCCTCTTCATACAGCAACGGCGCGAGGAACAGACACAAGCTGCCCTGACGGTTCTTTCCCAGCCACATGCCTCCTGTGCTTCAGTCACCTGCTAGTTTTACAGCACGGTGACCATGCCAATGGCTCCAGCAAGACAGGCACACTGGCACCTGAAAGAGGCCATGGTAATTCCCAAAGGAAGCCAGTACTGGGGCTTCAGCAGAAGGCTCTAAGGTATAGCAAAGGCCCAGATCTTTCATGTCTCACATGGATATCGTCTCCCTTCTTCTGTAACATTCATCTCCTTCCCAAAGCTGGAAGCTGCTGTGCTGTTTAGAATCAACTGGCTGTTACCCACAGTCCTATTGCTTCTGCGCGTGAACAAGAATTGTACGAACTCAAACAAGGAGTCTCAGATAAGACACCGCTATATGGCCGCTAGTGACAGGCAGCAGTACGCGACAACTGACTTTAGCTAGTCAGTCCCAGAGGGAGTGGGGATGATGGGAGAACAACAGTATTGCTGTTCTAACAGTACAAGTCAGTTGTTTCCAGGTGACCAAAAATTAAATTTTAAACTGATTTTTTAGAACAAGAATGTAAAAGCAGAATTTTGTTTCTATTTGACTGAAAAAGTTTATTCAATTGCAAAACCAATGCTTTGTTTTCAAATGTGGATATGGAGGGGCTTTTTAATTGTTAAAAGCTAGACAAATTTCAAAATAACGCCCTGGAAACAGCTTGGGGTAAAAATATCCTGTGTGTTCTTCTAAGGAGCAGTGGTTTACAAAGGTGAAGTGTAGTCTTTATTATCAGCCAAGGCAGACTGGAACAGCTGATTTAGCTTGGAAAGCCTGTCTGTCTTGCTCTGGTTGGGTCTTTTCTCTCTGGCATTTGAATACCTGGCTATTTTCCTCAAAGCATTTCCATTCCTCTTGCATACCCCAGATACATCCTACAGCCTTCTCTACCCTGCATCAAACACCCCAATCACATGCTCTCCCCTAAAGGCATTCATTATTTATCCAAAACCAGACACGTCCCAGGCAGAGAGGCAGACAGAAAGTCTGGGCCATTTGTATATGGCCACCTCTTACTGGGGAAGTAAGCTCTCCTCTTCGAGACAGGTCAGTACACCCAAAGTCAGCTACTTAGAAACATTGCTACAAGGGCCAGAGAACAGAACGACACACACTGAGCATCAGCTGGCTAGCAGCAGACCAGCTTCTCCTAATATCTGATTCCTGTGTATAAATAGCAATGCTACAGGGACAGAACTAAAAGCAACTGGCCAATTCTACCTTTTATGGAAGATGATTGCCTTAGCATAGGAGCATGGTAGCATCTTGCCTGTGAAGACAAGCACACACTCCTTCCTTTTTGGGCACTCTCACCTTATTCATGGGACGTCCTGCGTAACGATTAGATCCAACTATGCTTTTGTAACACGTGCAAAGCATGAAGCACAGCACATAAGATTTCACTAAGCAGGGATTAAAGTCTTCTTTCTCTTCAGTATCTCTTTAAAACCATCCACACTTGGCACAAATTTCCTGAGGAATTCCACCCTGTTTGGGACTGCAAACACGCTGGAACATTAACAGCACCTATACTATCATCCATGCAAGAAAAGCTACTTTTCATAATCAGTCTCCCTTTTGTACAAATCTATTCACAGTCAACAGACAATACAAAGAACTTGGCTGAGCTGGACGCCTGCCAGGACTTTTCTGGTAGTCAACAGAAAACAAACAGAAAATTGAACAGAATGAACAAGCAGAATGGCACATACTTAGTTCTTATCCATCTAATTTGTATAATGTGTTTTTGCCTACAGGAAGGAAAGGGGAAAGGGAAGTTACACACTCTCCAGATCTTTGTAAGGTGTCAATTTTTTCTGGAGTTATCACCATTACCTAACAGGACATGGATCTCTGGAAGAGGGGTGCTTTCTACTGTTTCCCTAGCCAAACTGCGCCTATAATTTGCTCTATAAAGCAAAAAGGCAGGCACAGATCCCTGTAAGATTTCTGTGAAAAGTATAAAGGGGAAAAAAAAAAGAAGTCTTCAGGAAATTCACCTCTAAACAAGCCCTGCATACCAGTGCCAAACAGTTGTACCAACAAATCCTGACATTTTCATCACTATTTGGGCAAGAGAAATAAAGGGGAGACTGAAAGCAGGAAGGGAAGTGGGGGGCATAACAGCATAAATCCATTTGCCGGTGGTAAGACAGACATAAAGACATTGAGGCTTAGATCCTCCTTTGCATTGATACATCACACATTATACTGCTGTTTGACTCCATGTTAACCACTGATCACCTACATGTGTCAGCTAAAGGTCTGCCCAGAAAACAGCGTCCCATGCAACTCGGGCATCCTTCCTGCAGCTACCAATAAAATAACGGAGCAGCAAGCAAACATATAACAAAGAATCCTTGCTGCCGTTCAGCTGCAGAGCCAAGTCTGTCATCTTTTCTGTCGTCCTTCCACATAACGGGCAAAAAAGAACTTGGAGCAGGAGCTAGGACATCCTGCTCACACATATTCTTAAGGCATGATATCAAACCTAGAGCTTCAGCTCTGGGGGAATGTGATCAAGAGCAAAGGAAGGCGCTGCTCATTTTGCAGTGACCAACAGGAAAAGCAGAAACTTAACTGCAACCCACAAAAGCATGCACACAAAGAAGCAGAGTGCCACTACATCTCTCCAGCATCAATACTTATTAAGCACTATTACATAATACAAATAGTAACACAGGTATTATTTATCTTTCTACCCAATTTTGGACATATGTGTTACCAGGACTGTGTGGTTGGATTTTCCAAACAATAAGCCACTTAGTAATCGCAGAAAAACTCTTAACCAAAACTATGTGCAGATATTTAAAGAGAGCTTTGAAAGCCTAGTCAATTATCCATAAATTTTGAGCACAACTGTGTGCAGTGAACTAATATAAACCTGGCGCTAAGGCAAACAGCTCCAAAATAAGCATCATACAAGCTTTGTAAACCAGACTTATTTCATCTGCTTTAAGCGCAAGAAGAATAATAGTAAGTGGCAATTTAATTCATTTGTGTCTTCTTCAACAATCAAGACTGAAGTAATAGTGACATATATTGGTGTATCAAGATGCAGGTGACTTTGGTGATTTAAAACATTAGACAGAACTCATGCTTTACACATGCTTACGGATCATCGCTTTTCACTTCACCATGAGCTACAAAGCCAGTATTAACCTTGATAAATTTCTGAAAAGAAACTTTTCATTTTATGAATTCTTCAAGCTTGCTCAGAATTTTTTTAACACTATCTAATGTAATTTCACAGGTTCAGAAAGCAAAGGGCTTTCCTTTAGCTGCCCCCAAATCAGTGGAAGATCAGGAAATAGTCTGAGAATGGAGATCTCTAAATAGCACC